ACAAACATATACTTTTACATTTATAATATTAGTGAGAACAACGTGAGAATTTGTTCCACAAAAAAAAAACACCAACTTTAATCATGACCAAACCGGTTATTTAAAACTAAACTACTATTAAAATCGATATATATTTTGATAAAATTTCCGTAAAACCAATCCGAAAATATATCCTTACGAAGAAAAAAACTTTTTTTTTCTTGGATTTGGAAAATTCTTTAATTTTCCAAATCAGTTTATAAATTACGGAGTTATAAGATAACGAACAAAATAAAATTGTTTTTTTTTTTTAAGTCTATTGAAAAGCGTGGGCGCTTAATGCGTATTCTGTATTATTTACGATTTGGATTAATAGAACCATATTTTGATTGTGATTTAAAATTCAAACGAGTGTGCTTAAAGTCTATTCATCTTTCCACCGTGGAAGGTAAGCGCCTACCTTAAATCCTCAATTAATTGGCACGCGACTCACTCGAGGGAAGATTAAATGATCGCAAATTGTGTATAGTTAAGTATTATAATAAAAAAAAACATCAAATACAAAACGTTTTTGCATCAAACAAGGTTATTCTACTTTCAACCGACTTCAAAAAAAGGAGGTTTTCAATTCGGTTGTAATTTTTTTTATGTTTGTTAACTCATAACTTTGTCAGTTGTAATCCAATTTGGAAAATTCTTGTTTTTATCTCAAAGGATATATGTATTTACAAATTGCTCCTATAGAAATTTTAACAAAATCGATTTAACAGTTTAATTTTTAAATCATAATAATTAATTTTACCACAATTGAAGTAGGTTTTTTTTTTGTGGATCACAGTCTTGTGATATTATTATTCACTTAAGATAACGAAATAATAATAATTTAGTAAAAAATATTTTGTTTTTTAAAGATGGGATTAATACAGAGCCAGTAATTAACTGGAGCTTGGGTGTACCCATTTGCATTCTTCCCGCACTGTAAATTAAAAAGGAAAAAAAAATATGTTGAATTAATTCATTAATTATTTTAATTTAAACGAATTAATTCATAACAGCCAATTTAGATTTTTTTAAAGGGCGATCAACTAAATTCCTGTGGCGAGTAAAGTAAACATATAATATTTTTCAATTATGTGATCTATTGGAAAACAGTTAACGATACAACATAAGGGTCACCGCACAACAGGCGGCGCACAATAGGCAGCGCCGGGCGTGTGCGCCGTGACGACACTTCATTATGTCAGTGCCTACAGTATTGAATAATGCGTGTAGTGATGCGACGTTGTGGCGTACAGGCAATATAGATATCGATAGAAATTTAATTTTAATAATAGCACCCCCTTTCCTTTCCCACATAAGTCCATTATTCCTCTCATTCACCAATTTCCTTTATGCATTTCCAACGTTCCCTTCCTTTTTTCCTCAATCCCTTCCTCCATACCGTAGGTGGCGGAAATCACCAACAAATGCATTCCCAAAGAGGGTTGACGTCAGACAGGTGGCCGGTCGTAAAACTAAAAACCAAATCTTTTTGTAATATGGATAAAATCATATTACGCCGACCCCAAATGATTGGGATAAGGGTAGGAAGATGATGATGAATAGCAGTTAAAACACTAATAAATTCGATATGTTAAATGAGACTATCTGAGTTTACCTAACAGTAATTGATACCTAATAGTAATTACAGTTTAGGGGAAGATGGATTGTTATTAATGCGGTTTAATGATATTACTAGCAGTATATCTTATTAGGTCGGCTTCCATGCAATTTCCTCCAGAAACCATCATGTTTAATTTATTGTTGAATTCGTCACGATGGGCCCACTGACCTGCTTCATTTTAATCAATCATCCCTCACCGGTACCATTATTGTAGTGCTAGCGCAAGTCGGGGAACCATTGCATTATCATCCATTAAAAAATAGTAATTACGGTTTAACGGGAGAGGGCGATTGTTATTAATGGGGTTTAATGAGACTATTGTTAGCAATATAGCTAATCAGGTTAACCTCTACATGATCTTTCTGGAAATCATCGAGGTTAATCATGAGGGGCTGACTGAGTTACCTTCATTCCATCTATCATATTTCTTTAATATCCAGTGTATACTGATAGAGCAGGAAAGGTTGCCATTTCATCCCATCATATCATCATCCCATCATAAACCTTTTTTTATAACACATGGGGCAAATGAGCATGCGGCTCACCTGATGGTAAGTGATTACCGCCGCCCATAATCACCCACAACACCAGCGGCATTGCAGGTGTGCTGCCTAAACTATAAACCTATTTTACTAATTGAAGTGTTTTGTCCTTTTTTGCACTAATTTCTCATTTTAAAAGATAAGTGATAAAACATTATAACAGTACTGTAAGTGTAAAATTGGTTTGTATGAACTTTTAGTTTTTATGAATAAGGGGGATAATGTTTCTGTGCTGTGATTTTTCTAAACGTTATTATTTAGAAGAAGAAAAGAAAGAGTGGATTCCAGTCAGTGAAATTATTAATTTATAACTGTTTTACCCTTTAATCATTTACATATGGATGCATTAATTTTATTTATCATACGAAAGAATTAGTAAACATTGTCTTTAAATACATAAAATACCCACGTAAAACGTGGATATTTTATGTATTTAAAATTAAGTGTTTATTAATCTGTCAAATTTCTTTTAGTTTATTCGCATTTAAATGTGTTTCATAGGTATTTGATATATTTTTCAGATTAGTAAATTTTGATAAAAATATAGGTACCTATATCGATATCTCTGCAACATCGGTTGTCTTAACCCTAAACTGGTCAATTGCCGACGCAACAGGGGTCCCAAACCCTTCATCGCGGCTTAATGCCATAATTGAGGGTTAAATCTCCGACAGACGGGCAGCTTGTTTATTATGACACCGTGATTATTTTCACAGTTTATATTCTCTGTTGCAATCGAAGGGTTCATTATCGCGATGACATTTTTTGGCCAATTTAGAAATCGCGGGTGAGTGCAATAATTTTTTTATGGTATCTACCATTGAACGTTCGTCGTCACTACTGACTTATCAGATTTAAAATGGAAAGTTTTTTTTTATTTTAATTATGATGTCTAACTGTAAGGTAGAAACATGACAAATCACGCTAAGTAAACGAGACAGTTTAAAACTAAAAATTTTCCAGGTTTTACAGATTTAAAAAAATCGATACAATAAATTTTATAAAGTTTTTTTTTATATAATGATATAAAAAAAAATTAAGGTGGTAAACAAGCATAAGGCCCACCTGATGGTAAGCGTGACCGTAGCCTATGAACGCCTGATGCATTATGCGCGCATTCTCGACTCTAAAGAAACCTTTTTGCCTAACCCTTTTTTGAAAAACCTCGACAGGGACTTCATTTCATAACATGAATTTAGTTTACGTGGTATGAAATATTCTTGAAACCGCGCTGTTCGCGAGCATCCCATTTAAGGTATGGGGGTGAACTCCCTGTCGGTGGTGAGCTCTTTGATGGTGGAAAGTAGTCGTAGACTTCACATTTATAAAAGGAAGGTCTATTCAGGTATGGCATTGGATATGGCATGGCAGAGATAATACTATACTAGTTGTGACACAGATTAAGCATAGAAGGTACCTATCTTCATTTATTTATTTATTATACTGATGAAAAAAAAACAACAGTTCTAAATTTGAAAGTTATTGTTTCATATTTGTTATAGATTAGAAAACGAATGACAATAAAAAAAGGTAATAACACAAACAAATTATTAGTCTATTATATTTACAATCATATTTTACAGTATCTAACAGTATCAACATACAGATGAGACAACTCTGTTTCACTATATAAATAGGTGTATGTATACATATAAAGCATACTCTATACCTATGTCCCTAATAGTCATCTAACTAATAAGTGTTCTTTTTAATAGGTGAAAATGAAACAGTGACTCCGCCTGCGCTATCGGTATACACTGGCGTGATACCAGTGAAGGATGATAGACGAGGATGAAACATAATTCTTGTGGGTTCGTCACGATGGGCAGTTAGCCCACAAGAATTAACCATGATGATTTTCAGGATTCCATCAACCGTGTGGAGGTCGACCTGACAGGGTTTAATACTAGCAATAGGGCTGTTAGACCCCATTACTAACAATCCCTTCCCCTCAACTAATAAGTGTTTAGTGTAAGATACTAGATATGTTGCTTTTACATTACTTATATTTATTCATATGTTTATTTATATGAAAAGATTATATTATTTACACTAATATAATATAATAAAGTGGGAGATTTTGTTTGTTTGTTTGAACGTGTTAATCTCTGAAACTATCGGTCGGAAAAATATTTTTTGCATTTAGATGCTCGTTTCTTATATAGGGTTATTCAACATCGCGATACGGTTTCTTTTCATGGCCGATTTATTAATTATTAATAAGATAGTGTATCTATATTTGTTATACATTTACATTTGTTATACACATGTAATTCAACAGTAAATAAAAAAGAATTTGATAGAGATGAGAGACAAAAATATTAAACAGGTAAAACCATTTCCCACTTTCTGTCATCAAATTGAAAACATACGCTTAGCAAAACTGCACATCGTTTAGTACTAAATAAAAGGCGTGAAGATATTCAATACATAACCCTGAAACGGCCGCCGTCGCTTCTACACGCACATAAAGAATCTCAGCCAAGTCAGCCAACAAAATACGCCGCAAACATTAACAAACTACAATAACAAAGCATCCCAACCATATAATAACATGGTGCTTTAATCGAACGAGCGAGGCGCGAACAAATTAATACCATCATACTTGTAATTTCAATCACAAAATTAATTCAGCCGTTGCCGCCTTAAATAAGTGCCGGTTTCGTCCAATCGATAAGACGAGGCGGCGAGGGCGGGCGATACCAGTAAATAAGGTTTTGGCAGGGCCGTGGTTGGAGCGATGCGGGCCTGGAGGCGGGACCAGACCGAGGGCGTGGTCCCCACCGGTCCCAGAGACCGACATGAGCACAGTACGGGTTTGGCGCGCGGTTGTGTGACGTGGCGAGTTTTTTGTTTGGGATGTTTTGATTTGCTGTGACATTTTTTCGAGCGACACGGCAGGTGAGTGGAGGGTTAACTAATTAATTTATTTTGAGAAAAAATAATTTTATTATGTTTAATTATATTATGCTTTTTTCTTGTTATATAGTCTTTTATTGCATTTTTTTTTATTTCAAATAATGCTTGTGAATAATTTAAATAAATAAAGAGAATAGATATTTACTGCCTATTTTTATCATGAAAAATATATCCTTTGATTTTGTTTTTATCTCTGTTTCTGTATATTTAAGTAATATTTTATTACTAGGTAATATTATATATTTTGTGATTATTTATTTATTTTTTTTTATATCATTGAGATGGCAAAAAAATATACGGCGCATTTGACGGTAAGCGGTTACCACAGCCTATGAATGCCTGCAGTACGCTTACGTTTTCGACTCTAAATTCTATTTTTTGAAGAACCGCATGCAGTAGTCTTTTGGAAATACATTTATTTGTAAAATAAAAAAAAAAGTTAAGAGAACACTTAAATTTTTTTACTATTTTTTTTTATCTTAAAATGTATTGTTTTATTTATTTTTATAATTTTACAAATTTTCAATGTCACTTGTACTATTTTATACTTATTTATTGATTGTTACTTATAAGGATATTATTTTATTTATTTTTTTATTATAAGGAATCAACATTGGATTTTAAAGAGTCATTGAAATCATTAGCATAATTTTAATTGTATATTCTGTAATAAAAACCGAATATTTTTGCAAAAGTAATATTGTGTACAATGATAAAAAAAATTGAATTGCCCATAGGTATTATAGCGTGCCTAGCTAACAATTTAGTAGAGTAGACGTAAACTGTTTAGTCTCACTATTACAATACTTCCTAATGAATGCTAATAGGTACTAAATAACATTATTTTTACCAACAAAACTAATGATTTTAATTTTTCCTGCCTTATTCATAAAGACGTCAAGCCTCTCATAAATCTATTTTAGCTATAGAATTGTTTTGTCTCTTTCTTTTACGCTAAAATTATAATTTGAAAAAAGTGACAAAAGAGTATAATAATTAAAAAAGGTTTTAAGAAGGTTTTATCTTTTATGAATATGGGAGTACGTCTATAATTGTTATTATAAGAAGATTTTAAAAATCTGAATTAGGTCGAAGCGCGGTTACGGTTTACGTAGCACCACGTAGCAGATGCGTAGCACGTAACTACGTTTAAATGTTTCTCGTGATTTTGCCTACATTAATCAGTGCAGTAAAATATCCTATGTACTAAATTAGGGTATAATCTATACGTGTACCGAATTTAATTAGATAAATTCCGTAGTTTTTGTGTGAAAGAGTTACAAACATCTTTTCATCCTTACAAATTTTCGCATTTATAATACCATATAAAGAATATAATAGGATTTTAAAATATCACAAATTTTTATCGTTTTAAAATATAGATGTTGGAATAATTAAACGGTCACTAGTTCTTATTATAAGTGGTTTTAATTTTAATATTTATTAGATACTTTTTTATAAGCTACTATTAGTTTACTGTGGAGCGTAATCGTAGACCATGTCTCACCTCTTGTCCTGTCCTTTGTGTCCTTCATCAAGCACAAAGAAGGACCTAAATAAGGCAACCAGCGGTGCTTTGTAAGTTGTCAAGTTATGGCCAAAATATATTTGTTGCCTATTGAAAGAAAAAGTCATTATTACGGACTCTTCCTAATGGTGTGCTTTCATTATTCTTTAAATATTACTGTGAAATGTATTCTATATAGAAATACCGATAGCAATACAATAATGTAATACATATTTAAATGCGGTAAAATAGAATAGAATAGAATAGAATATCTTTATTTCCTTTAACAAAATTAGCCTATGGTACAATATAGCTATGACCCCACACTAGGCAAAGCCTGTCTTGTGGAAGGCAAAGCAAGTAATTTTACAGTTATGGTGCGGCGAACAGGGATAATTTAATTATATAATGTTTCATGTGAGTTTGGGTACACGAGTGTGTGTGTGTGTATATATATATATATATATGTGTGTGTGTGTGTGTGTGTGTGTGTGTGTGTGTGTGTGTGTGTGTGTGTGTGTGTGTGTGTGTGTAAGCATGTGCATATGTATATAGATGAAGGTAGTGAATATACAGTTCCGTCCCATACATTAAACTGCGCTTTTTAAAATTTTTTCTGTATCTTCGTAGGACCAAGACATCAATAATCCATGAATGACTCTCCTTGCAGTTGATAATCGGCTATCTTTTATGTCAGTAAGCCTTGTGATGTGATTGTAAATTCGTGTAAAGAGATATTTTCTGAAACGCTGTGCAAAAGTTGTTCTTACGTCTGTAACAGGGAGTTTGTAAATTCGTTTCGATAACATGTCATTATATGTAGGGAGATTCATTGCATATTTATGCATGTGTACAGTCGCTCGCAAGATGAATAATTTACGAACACTTAGTACTTGAGCTTCCTCATATAATTTTTTCGTATCATAACGCCGCGGTTTTCTCAGTGATACTTTGGAACATTTTCATAGTGGGTATTTTTTGTGATACTTAATATGCGAAACAAGCTGACTGTCTTATTACGAGTAGATAGCAAAATACATTGCCATTTTTTATGGTATACTCACGCGTTGCCATTCCTGATTTATTTACTCATAAGTTGATGTATAACTATAGTAACTACTTAGCTGAATTAGGAGTTTGCTATTTCCGTGATCATTTCAGCCGCCGCTCGCGGTTGTCTCTCGCTCTAATTTTCTATTTTATATCCAAGTTTAATTTTTTACATTAATTAACGTGTCATATTCAGCATTTCAATTATTTATCATTCATGCCTAGAAATATTAATCTTTGCTTTCAAGAGAATTTCTTAAGGCACTCTCTGAACTCTTTAGAAGGATTAACTTAAGGATTACGCATACGATCTCCATCTTTCCTTGAACAATAACTATTATATCCTACAATATTATGCTGAACATTGGGATTGGCCTTCCTCTCATATTTTGTAGATTTTTGTAAAGGTTGCATATGCAAATCATCACGAGCAGACGTCACGTTTACGGTGCCGACCCTGGAAGAAACCTTTTTGAAGAACCTTACATTGGAGTTTTTAGCGAAAATCTTGGCGTTTTGGAGCTCATTCCAAAGCCTGAGTATTCACGGGAGAAAAAATCACTGAAATCACAGTTTATGCGACCACCGAGATTCTAGCATGTATGGATGAATTCCCTGTTGATATCGAGCTATGCGATGATAAAAGGTGGTTGTGGGCATCATTTTGAACAATTTCTTAGAACACAAACTGTTATACAAAGGGAAGCAAAGTCTCGGCTCGACATTCGACCTCCTAAGTCTGTGAGTTTAGGATCCTGGTTAGCTCTCTTTACCGAGTCAAGAGAATCAAGCATGGAATAGTCCATAGCCTGCATTCATCAACTCCTGCCACTTATGTGTGGCCATCTCTTCCTTTACTTGGATTGCCTTTCAAGTTTGCCTTTATGAGGTCATAATATCATGGGAGGCTTTCTTTTCCTATCGATTGGCAATTCTCTAAGCTTTGTGACTGGTCTGTTGGCACTTGAGTTTGTGGTCTTTCTGTGACCCGAGTAAATCGAAATTTTGAGCAGAGTTCGTTCCAATATCGCTGAAGAATATGGATTTGTTTCAAATACCTGGTTCTGACAGACATTCATACACTTGAAATAAGTGAAATGTACACGAGTTAATATCATTGGTTTATTATTTGCGCCATGAATGAAAAATTAAAATAAAATAAATTAAAATAATAACTACTTGGCCGTTCTTCATGACTGCAATTATGTTCCGAATGGACGATAGAATCATGAAAGAATGATTATTAAAAAATACTTGAATTTAAGTTTACTTTAATAAAAATATTTCTTACTTTCTTAAATCCAACATTTCTGCAACCTAAGTAGGTACCTAATAAAAAATTGCGTAGAATATATATATATATATATATATATATATATATATATATTCTACATAGAATTATTAATAAAGTATCACAAAAGGTAGACTTTACTGCTAAAAGCAACCTTTTAGATATAGACAATTTTTATCATGACAGAAATGTTTAACAGATTTAAATTTTTTTTAGTCAACTTAGAATGGCAAACAAGCTGACGGCCCACCTGATGGAAAGTGGTAACCGTCGTCTATATATAGACATGAGCAGTACCATGGACAAAACAGACCAGCTCTGACAGACCAGAACACTCTTTCGCCCAGGAATAGCAACGCATGTGGGGGGGGGGGGGGTGTATGCGTTGCCATTTCTGAGGACTCATGTGTTATTCCTCTGTACCCTGTAAATTCACTGCCATATCCCTTCAAACCGAAACACAGCCATATCTAAACATTTGTTTTATGTCATAGATATGTTTAAGTTAGTTATATATCTAATAATATAGGTAGGTAACTAAATAATAAATATGTATTCCTACATAATACATTTTATTGAAACAGGACAAAAATTTCTAGCAGTTGAAAATTAAATTGTGAAACAGACAAGAGATTTAATTTCTATGCTGTTTAAATATAGATGCGACTCTTGTTGCGTTGTGTTTAAATAGGAAGTATCTGAGGGGGTGAACGGGCATGAAGTGGGGGGTGAAGCTTCCCCTGGGACCTCCTAATTGAAAGACAAACAGGGGACGGGCGATTCGCGGCGAATTCATTATTTCTACATTAAGTTGATACTATCTGATGTGCGGATTATTTTTAACTTTGTCTTATACTCGTAATTTATCCTACTCGATTATAAATATGAAATGTTGTTTGAATGTTTGTCATTCAATTATGTTTATATGGCTGGACGATTTTAAATAAAATTTTGCATAACTATGGACCATAAAATGTCCATTATAGTGTAAAAGGATTAATACATATCATCTAAAATACTTTGATTATATTTTTAAATAAATAAATAATTATGTATTCAGAATTTTTTTAAGAAAGTGTATTTTCAATATATTGCTAAATAGACAAAATTTTGATACTTCATGTTATTTTTATC